GGCACCTCGACAGACCAGTCACCAATAATCCACACTGTGTCTATAGGAGAAATACAAAGGTGTTCAATTAATGCCTCAGACAAGACAAAATGTACAGTTAACTACATGTGACAGCTCAGGCTGTTTTTTTATTATGAGCCACATCTGCAGGAATAATATTGAACAAGGTAGCTACAACTCATCATAATAGATACCAGTCTTAAACACTATTTTTTCTAATACTTAAAGTTTTTGGTGTGAAGCTGACACTGTCCACAGACTCCATGACTTAACGGGGTTCAATAGAAAACAAATGTCTTCTCATAAATACTAAATCATTATTTTTCAGTTGTCATGTTCACCTCATCGCTGTTGACATCAGTAAATATAAGACACAGACATTCCTCTTTTTGTCAGAACAGTAACATGAACTGTATGCTTTGTAATATTGATTTCTTCTGGATGTCTCATATTTATTTACAGTCTATGGATAAAACTTTGTTAATGTATTTCTCTGCTAACACTGACAAAGTCTAACTTCTCTAACAAATAACTCATAAACATAGTTGTATATTTAAAAAAGTGTAGTTTTAAGACTTTAATTAAATATTTGTGTTGAATATAATTCGTTTTAACTGTGTTGTAGAAAAGTTAAATGTTAACTTACTGTTTGTAGAGTTTTCTCAGGACGAGCAGGAATAGTTGATGATAGCAGCCTAGCTGTTAGCTATGCTGTCAAGTGGACTGCTAACGTCGAGCTGAATGGGCGGAGTTAAGTCCCGCCGGTCCCGCCTTACTGCTGTTGCTAGGTTGATCCGTAGTTAGGTTGAGACTGCAAATCCAATATGGATGCGGCCGTCGATTGGACTCATTTTCTGCCTATGTCACAGACGGGTCAGGGTTCGTCCAGTAATATTTACAGTCTATGGTGCGAACGCAAATACAAAAGTATGTCTTTATATCTCTAGTAAGATCGTCAAACTTCCGATACTTAAGATACCTTATGTTTTAAAACGATACTATCTCTGTTATTTAAATGATTGATAGTATCAAAAAATACCAAAACATAGAAAAACTACATCTCTGAGACAGGTGTGTTGGGGAGGAATGAATCCATCAAAAAAAACAAGCAAACTCCTGCACACTGACTAAATGGCACAAAGAAGTTTGCATTGTTTTGGTACCAAAACATTACTATTATATATGTGCTATTTAGGGCTTTTGTTACTTTAGTTTGTTACTTTGTTGCATAGTTAGCTCAGGTTTGTGTGTTCACACACAGGGACATTAACAAAGGAACCAAAATGTGCGATGCTTAAGGAAAAGGCTCTCTGATTGGTTGGAATTTGTTGTGTGAAAAATCCCTGAAGTAAACAAAGACTAATTGTCTCCTGCCTGGCTGCTCCAAAGACAGTTTACTATTTCAAACGTGATCATCTACACGTATTGATGCTGGCTCTGGTCAGAGTTTTTACGTTGTTTGCATTTATCACTGTAGTAAAGTTACAGTTTGAAAATGAGACACAACTAGACTTAAAAATAATATGCCAATGAACTAATGTTGTTATCTGTGGTCTTTAACACATGTTCACTACTGATAGAGAAAGGGGCCCATAGTGGTTGCTTCCTGCAATTAGGTCTGATCGAGGTTGGTTCATATTCTACTAAAAACAATCCACACCAGAGTAAAACATTTGACCGAGATCTAGCTTCTCAAACGGTCTCTTTACGGATGTTTGGTCCACACCAGCGTTCAACTGACAGCATTCACCCCAGAGCAAAGGAACCGCAATAACTTAGCAAAACAGACTTGAGTTTTTAATGGGACCAAAGAGGTTAGATGTGAAAAAGCACTAAGACGGTGTTACGTTCCCCAAGATGGCTAGGGGATGAGGGGAGTAACAATAAATTAAAGCCCAGTTATAAGAAATAGGAACTAAATATAAGCAACGTTTAAAATGATTATACAAACTAAAGACAAATGTTTAACACAAAACAAGCTTCTTCTGTAAATCACAAAACAAAAGGGAAGCTATCTATCTTAAACTAAAGTCAAACTAACAAGTCAAATACAACTAACAACAAGGCCTCAATCAAAATCACTCCTTCCACAGAAGGATGACAACAAAGTTTGTCCATGTCACAGACAAGCACAACACGCAGCCGAATTTAATTATGTCTTTCTTTGAGTTTTACTAGAATTATATTGAAAATCAAAGTTCTAGAATCTCTAATATGCTGATATGCTATGGGACTGAATGTATTGTGATGACATTTTTCTGCACAGATCAAAATACAGTTTCTGCATGTGGTTCCAATAAATAAGATGCAATGAAAGAACGTTTGTTATGACAGGGAATAAATTATTATACTTTAGTTCATAATTTGTAATACAGCCAGATATTTAAATGAGGAGAGGCATGTAAGAAGAGCTCTCGTTTTCTGAAGATTCCAACAAAGCGAATGATTTGATTTGCAATCTTTAAATTCCTAAATATTGTCCTGACCTCACTTTCTCCACCACACGACCGCTGCCTTCTCTGATTGTAGCACTGATGCTGGAAAACAATATAATTAGTAATCCAGCACAAAATTTGCATATGCATATCGCTGAAGTAGTGCCAATGATGGAGTGGCGGTAGTGAGAACAGGAGGGTGTGTGTGTGGGGGGGGGGTTGGTGCGAGTCTGCTGCGGTTCCCGTGTAAATCAGACGTTCTGTAACATGTGTGAGCTGGACTCACAGACGACACAGGGTCACAGTTTGATGACCTTTAATCATGCTCACTCACATCATGCAGCTTTCTCATAATGATGATGATTTTAAAACAGTTTCAAGAAATACATAGAAGAGTGTGTTTGCCCCTGTGCATTCATATGTGTTGCTCTTTAGCCACCTTGTCATGGTTGTCTCTAAATATTGTCAGCCTAGGGGCAGCAGAGCGTAACTCTCTGAGGCACTTTTAAAAATATTGTACTTTAAACGGCACCAAGAATCGTTAAACTTAAACGACAATCACACCTGATCTCTCCATAGTCCTTAAAGTGACCAAATCTGAAGTTACCTTTTTTGCCGCTGGCGTGATGAATGGCCCTACAGAGGGTTTCTGGTTACCATGGTAGCGCCTTTTCAAAGATAATTGCTACCTCGTCTCACATATTTTAAACATGATTTTGTTTTTGTGCCGGTTGTGGATTTAAAATGTTTCCTTCTGTGTATGCATATGTTGATGAGTGTATCAGTGTGTGTGTTCCTCAGCCCCAGCAGGAGAGATGCTTGAGTCTTAACGAGTCTGTTAATTACTACGCTTCAGTGTGTGTGTGTGTGTGTGTGTGTGTGTGTGTGTGTGTGTGTGTGTTACAGCAGAGGAACACTGGCTCATTTGCATTAAGACTCACACAATGTAGCTAAAAAAAAGAAGATGGACACAGCATATACTGAATACATGTACACATCTGTGGACTTATCTTTTCTTTGCAGAGGTGTGTGTTTGTGCGCGTGTGTGTGTTTGTGCGCGTGTGTGTGTATGTGTGTGTGTGTGTGTGTGAGTGTGTGTGTGTGTGTGTAGCTGTGTTTGTCTACGTCTGTCTGTGTGTGTGTGTGTTGCACAGAGTGTGCTGCAGGCGTCTCTCACTGTGCTGTTAGCTAACATTCCCGTTCACCGAGAGCGACGAGCAGGAAGTGAAGACAGTTCTGAGGCTGCTGCTGTCTCTGCTCTCTTCCAACTGTTTACACACACACACACACACCCACACACACACACACACACACACACACACACACACACACACACACACACTGCTGTCAGACCCCACACTGCAGCTGAAATGTGTGTTTTTTTATGAGAAGCCGGGTAACATCCAGTCAGATATTCCAATTGATGCCGGGGCATTTTGAAACTACACAACGGATTTGTAATGGCTCCCTGTGGGCCCTTCAGTCATAAAAACAACAGCGCTCAAAAAAACACAATTCAATTCCAGTCAGAAACAATAAAACGTCAACACTGGAGGTATGAGGTTTGTGTCTGACAGCAGTACCATGATGCATTGCTGCTACGTTCATGGCCGTCCTGCAAAATGAGCCGCAGCAGGCGTCAGATCACAGCAGCTATCCTTTAAAGAATTCATAGAGGCAGAACGCCAAACTAATATTTATTTCATGCTGTCTGTGTGTTTTGACAGACATTTCCCAAGTGTCGGTAAAGAAGGCAATCATCAAACACTGAAATCATGTTGGACTGTGATTGATTGTTCTTGAATATTTGCATTTGGACCAAAATTCACGCTGACAGAAAGAGGAAGGGAGAGAATAACTGGGAGAGAGGGAAGAGCGAGATGGAAAGTAAAGCTAACACAAACAGTCACAAAAGCACAAAGAGACAACAAATTTTCCTCTCCTGAGCTCTGCCACAAACTGTCTACTCGACATAAAAGCAACGCTGCCTTCTCATAAAGTCTTAGATACAATCATGTGTCCCCAACAGCACATTTATTACGCCGTGTTGCAGCAGAAAACGCGAGCAGAGACAGTAAATCTCCTGTGAATTCAGCACCAAGGACAGCTCCTCTGCGGCGCCAGCTAAGAACATTTCCACTTCCTGAGGATTTGTGGAGGCCAGATAGGCTCATGTACAAACTGCAGAGTCCGGACAATGTGCGACTTTGTGAAATGAATTACATTTTCCAGCATGACTACTTCGGACTTAATGCCTGTAAATGTAGCATGCAGCTCCTTTTCAGGCCAGAAATGAGAAATCTGGTATTACTGTGGGACTCTGGAGGGTGCACTGACAACACACTGTTACTGTTGTCTGAGACCATGAAATCCCACACAGAGGATTGAGAGCCATTCAGGATCCTAAAGTATAATTTATGGAGAAAGGGAGTAAAAAGGAGGCCGTGTAACAGTTCTCCAGGCTCTCTTGGTGTCATTCAGCCATACTGCCACATAAACTGAGCGTGTTCACAGCAATCACAGCGTGCGGAGAGACGATAGAAGCACAGATAAGAAGGTACTCACCTCTTAAAGCTGCTCCAGGAGGGATACAGGGGAGAGAAGAACAGAGAAACACATTAACATCACTGCAAACATGTGTCTAACTATGGTTGTTACATCTTGTATCACCGTTCATTATTGATTGCCTCGTTCATCAATCTTTTTTGAGCAAGCTAGCAAAGGTTTTTGTTCAGGCAGGGTCTTCGAGAATGTATTAAACATTCATACATAAATCCAGACTAAAAGAAAAAACAGCTGCAGCTTCCACATGCAGAAAGCTAAACTGACTGTGTGAATAGTTAGAATTAAAGTATCACTGCTTCATCATCAGAGTGGATCTGACCATTACTACATCTGTTTTTAAAATATATTAATGTGTTGCTCAGATATATTATTATTATGTTAGTGTGAACAACAGTTTTAGTTTCATCATTTCATCTGCTGCTGCTGCAACAGAGTTAAACTGAGCTGATATACACGTTTCAAAGAATGTAAGGCAGCCTGATCTGGGATCTTAAATATCAAACATGTGTTTGGACAAATAATCAGCTGCGACAAGCCTCAAATCAGGGCCATGTAATAGGGCCTAAAATTGTCTAGGGTGGAGCTAACCTAAGCTCCACCTTTAGACACCTGGCTGGTCAGTCTGTGAAATTTCTGATATGTTAATCTGTTTTCCTGGATTAGGTGTGCAGATGTGCATTTTAAGAGACCTTTTGTGAAGTGCCTCTGTAAAAATACGAGCCACTTTCATGACACTGAAAATTAAAATTAACCCTTAACTTTCATCACTAATAGTTTATCCTGCTTCAGAGTAGAGATATCTTGTGTCTTAAATCAGGAAATTATAATAACATGCACAAAAAATTATCAGGATCAATAACCGTGATCTTAACCCAGGTACCTGCAGAATGGTGTTTTTAACAATGCAATATAAATAATAATAATTCACCAACACTCAGGACAATCAAATATCAAATGTTTCAGGATCCAGCTGCCAGAAAAAAACAGCAAATCAAAGTTTAGATGCTGCAGCCGCTAAATATTCTGCATCTTCACTTGTTGAATCATCAACATGATTGATAGAAGAGAAAAGTTTCTATGAATCAACAGCTTGATCACTGCCAAACTCTTTTTGCACTCATGTCATCCCACCACACACACACACACACACACACACACACACACACACACACACACACACACACACACACACACACACACACACACACACACTCAGCTCACACAGTGAAACACACACTCACAGCTCTCACAGTGACACATACACACACACACACACACACACACACACACACACACACACACACACCCCCACACACACACTGAGCTCACACAGTGACTCACACACACACACACACACACACACACACACTCAGCTCACACACACACAGCTCACGCAGTGACACACACACACACACACACAGCTCAAACACACACACACACACACACACACACACAAACACACACCTCACGCAGAGACATTAGTGAGGTCACCCACAGAGGAGACGATGATAAAACTGTTCTCAAAAAATGGATGAATGCCAGAACTGCAGCAGAGGAACATCATTCCCCGGCCTGCTCGATGAATCACTCTTTATACACTTATACACACTCATATATGTCCATCCCATACACACCCACACACAACATCCCCCGATCCCTCCCGCGCTCTTCCACTTGAATAAAACTGCAGCAGGTTGCCCTTTCTGCATGGCGCCTTGCCAGCCACTCACAGCACATTACCACCATGTGACCCCTGCATGTGCTGAGAGAGGAAGCATTTAACCTGCTGCCCTTTCTGCTCAGAGTCGCATCCTATGTAGAATATGGACCGCCAACAGCCAACATACATCTTTGCTCTATGGGATGAAAAAGCGGAGGGAATTTCTCTTCATATGAGTGTGTGCGTGTGCAGCGCTCTGAACTCGATATGTTGCTTTCGAGTGTGTCTTTTTTATTCCCATCTGTAAGCGGGGATGGATTCAGTCATGCTGCGGTGCTCTATCACAGAGAACATCAATCTACCAGACTGACATTTAATCCCAAGCCTGGGCAGGTAGAGAAAAACACACATATATGCATGTAGCTCACACATAAATAAACTCACACACACACACACTATCAGCTGCACAGAAATCCAAATAAAAGCTGTGGACTCTGTGTGAACGCTGTGATCCTGCAGGGCGATGAGAGGATGTGAAGCAAAAGAAGACAGACTGAGACGGTGAAAAATAAAGCCATGAAAGAAAGGCTCGGAGGGAGACTGTTTCCATCATTCATCTATTGGCGGAGACGCTGACAGAAAGGCTCAGAGATTCAGGTGGTCAAGGAGAACAAGAAGCTGATGTATAGACGGCTGTGCTCTGTTTCTCTCTGTCTGCTCCAGCCTGAAGATCTTTTATTGTACCAGACATTTCAACCCATTGTCATCAAATCCATCCAACCTGCTCTGCCCCCTCGCTTCATTTCTGTTCAATCTATGGTTACCAAGAAGGCCAAGTGCACTGCAAAGGATTTATATTTCGAAAGTAATATCATGCAAAAAAGTTTTTTTATTAGAAGAAAGAAAGTCGATTCAAAATGAAATACATCAGTCCAAAACAAATCCAAGAGTGGAAACATGCTGCAAACAAACCAAGAGGGCTGCAAAAAAAAACAAAAAAAAAAAAACAATGCACTAACTGCAAACCCAAAAACAAATATAACTGAAACATGCTGCAAATCCACTCCTCAGGTTCAATATAATTTATTGAAATTTTCTGGACACACAAAGTACAGAAAATATGACGATAAGCATTCGTCAACATTTTTCCTTGAAGAAGATGGATGTTAAAATGATGATAAAAACTCTGACAATGAGGAAATGTATGTTTGGTTTTCCTGAAGGAGTCATGATAAAATGTTACTGGTTGGCTGTCGGACATATAAAATCCTTATTTCCACCCACAGTGCTTCTGATCTGTCTGTCAAAATACAAGCAGGAGAGTATTATTATTATTTTTATTTTTTATTTTTTTGGGGGGGGGGATTTTATATACTTTATTAATCCCTGAGGGGAAATTCTGGATTACACTCCATTATTGAGAGACAAGCTTCTCACACACAAAGGCCCGTATCAAACACATGCACAAACAGGACCTGGGACATGCATTGGCGGAGAGATGTCAGAGTGGTGCACCTCGGCGTGCCCTGGCACCTCTCCAGCTACCAGAACAACTTTCATATTATGGTCCGCATCTGGACTTGAACCAGATATCCTCCAGTTCCCAACCCAAGTCCCTACGGACTGAGATACTGCCGCCCCAAAGGAGAGGAGAGGTGTGAGCATGAGAGAGTGCAGGAGGAGTGTGCATGGGTGTGTGAAAGATGGAGAGATGCAGAGTGACACATAGAACACGAGCTGAAGGATAGCAAGCACATTCTTAAACAGCTCTTCACATTCTTAAACTGTCCCGATCAGAATCAGGTCTGAGAGGAATTCGTCTGAACAGGAGGCAGATGTCACATTTCTGCCAGAACAGTCCAATCTTAGGCTTTCAGCGCTTCATAACTTTACACAGATTAGTCACAAAATCACAATATGGATGTGATGTATCTTGACTCTTGGTATTTCAATAGTCTTGAATATATTTGTTTGCACTGACATGAAGCAAGACATTTAAATTCCATCCTCTTTATCCAAACACTGTGTATCCAAATATCAACACATCACCAGTGAACAGAATTAAGTGTTCAGCTGGAGAGGCTGCTCCAAGAGTTCAAACAGAGATGTAAGTTGAAACAGCAGCTTGATGCGATTCAGACAGAGTGACATGTTTATGATGGGACTGAACATCCGGGTTTTGGATTAATTGGAGCCTCACTGGTTCGCAGAGTGGAGGATGACAGAGACTGGAGTGTTACTGGAGCAGCAGTGTGACTGCAGCACAGAGGAGGTTGCCAGTGTGTGACCAAAGAGGCCGTGCTCTCTGACAGACCTTCCTCTATCGCTGTCTAATATGACTGCAGGTGATGCACAGCGCTAATTAAAATAGATTACAGAGGCCTGCTGTGTTCATGCCCTTCAGTCACAGCTCCCCTCTCTCTGCACTCTTGTCATTCTGCACATTTGAACAGATTTTTGTGTCTTACTATCACTGATCTTTTATTTCTACTCTGTTCAACCCTTACTGACGAAACAGGTTTTAGATGCATCTGATAACAACCGTAAAAATATTGTCACTTATTAATGACACACACACACACACACACACACACACACACACACACACACACACACACACACACACACACCTGTAAGGATCTTTAACATGACCTTATTAAAAGAAGTCATCATCATTGGCAGGAAAAGTGAAGAACTTGAGAAGAAAATGACTCCTTAGTGAGGACACTGCAATGACTTCATCATCGAGCATTAGCGTGAAACACCAGGAGGAGAAAATGAGAGAAAGGCTAAAAGGTATGAAGACCGACAAGAGTGAAACTGCTGCAACAGCCTGAAAGATTTTCATTTGAAGGAAAAAGGCAGCACACTCAGAAACAACATCAATTCAAAAACATACTAAAGTGAAATACGTATACAAAAACATGCTGCAAATTTAATAACCATGCTTCAGAAAGCCCCTCGTCAATGAAGAATGAGCCAAGAGTTTCAAGACTGAGAACCAAATAGTCTGAAGATGGCAGGCTGGTTTGCTATCAGGAGGACCCGAACCCAACGTGTTGCAGTGCACAAACACGCAGCTAGTTTTATTTAACACATGTACTGTGGTTGATTTGTCCACCAGTGTTTGTCTGGATTTATGATAAAGTGTTAAAAGACAGGTTCAACCTGTGTACAGCCTGCTGATTTAAAGAGTATTTGGATATTGAATAATATCAGACTGTCTGCAGTGTAATTAAAACAGTGAGTGAACGGAGAGGTGTGATGCTCCCTGTTAGAGTGTCAGAGACCAGAGTGTGGAGTCTGTTCCTCTGTGAAGACTGACACACGGGATGATTAGACAGCATGC